AAACGGCATTGTTTTGCTATCTTCCTAAACGGCGTCGTTTTGAAGGCCTATTTAAAGGCCAAATCAGCTTTTTTTTTCAATATTCTTCTTCTTTGTCTCTCTTCATCTAGGACAGCTCCCCTCTCTCTCTCTAAAACTCAAAATTCGACGACTGTTCCACCCCGTCGACCACCGTCAATGATTGTCAACCATCGTCTGTCGATCGTCGGTTGCTGTCTTTCGATCGCTAAAAAAATTTAAAATCTCTTAGAATCTTCTCTTCACCCCTTAAATATGAATCCGAGTTTAATTTCGCAAAAAAAGGCCTTGAACCGCATAAATCTGACCTGAAAGATTCGATCAAAGTGATTTTTTGATTTTTTGATTTTTTTTTATAGACTGACGTTGTGGTTCCCATTCAAAGGATTGTGATTTTGCTTGTGTTTTGGTGTTTGATTTTTTTTTGCAAGAAGCTTTTTTTTTTTAACCTGGCAGTATCTCTTTTTAACTATTTTTTTGTTGTTTTTTTTTTGCAAGGTCTTTGGGCTTCCTACCTTTTTTATCACCGATTTCATTGCTCTATTTATAGATTTTAGTGACGGCCATCGGCTGTCAGAACGACTGTCAGTGGCTGTCAGGGCCGGGGCGGCTTGCAGGCACACTGCCAGCGGCCGACAAAAAACTGACAGAAAGAGAAATAAATAAATAAATAAATAAAATGATGTCAACACCCAACTGTTCAAGTAAGGAAGTTCAAGTAATTATCCTTTTTCAGGGCTTTCTATTTCTGATGTAAATTTTGAAATGAGTTCATGGTTATTGTCTCCAGCTCAAACCAACTAGAATGGAGGAGCAAACTAAGAATCTTCCATCTGAGGTAAAAATATCTTATCTACAAGTAAAGCTAGCAGTTCCTACTGCATCAATGCGAAAACAAACAATCCACAGCTGGTCCTCCCCTAAAAGTGGCAGCAGAGATAAGATAAGAGCCAGGCCAACAGCCATCCATTACCTAGCTGGAAAATAGGATGCTCCTGTTACTGTTGTATCATCATCACTGAAGGTTTTCCTTGGGATTTCATCTGATCTTCTTTAGGAGCCTTCTTCTTGATTCACATAGTACAAACATGTTAGGTTCGACTAAGGACAAGATCGAGAAAGCAATGCAGAAACCAAGCTCCGTCAAGGTAAGTGAAATTAAATTCACCGTAAATAATGAACTTGGTCATCTCTCAGCCAATGTCTAAGGTAATTACAGCAGCAGAAAGACAAACTAGTAAAAGGATTTCAACTAACTAGGAAATTTAAGCATCCACACAGGTTGAAACTTCATTTATTCGCAAAATAAGTCGAGACAGATTTCTGGGGACTTCAAAATCTATTGTATCTTCATTGACGACTAGCTAATCTAGCTCCTGCATAACTTTCAATTTGATGGAAGCGCTTTATGACCTTTCCAACCCTCAAACAGCCACCAAAATTCACTCTCGTGCTGTCTTGTCTAGCTAGCCACGTCTCTCGATGTCCTCGTACTTTTGAGATCTTTCTAAGGGCAAAAAAAAAAAAAAAAAGATAAAATCTCAGTGTCTGAGCACCATTCCCCCCCCCCCCTCTCACGCCCAAACTCCCAGTCCTCACTAGTGCCTGCCAATAGGTTCTTCTTATAGCCAATTCATGTAGCCAATAGTGCAACATCTACAAGGCTACCTCTGGGTTAATTTTGGGCACTTTGGGTCCTTGGGAGCTGCTTAACTACCCTTCAGAATTCACACGGTCCAAGCTAGCAACCTAGTGGTTGACATTCTGATTCTCAAATTCTTATCTACAGGGATTTCCCCTTGTGATCCATGTATACCCTTTTCCTATGACATAGGCGCCAGTACCACCCTGCCATCAGACACAAGCCACCACAACCCGTCGAAGTTCCTCTTAAATTCAAGGACACAAATTCGTCATTAGAAAATCGATTCATTAAATTCGCAAAAATAGGTTTCCGTATTTCTCTGGGGTTTACAGAATCCGAGGAGGTCGTGGCGGAGCATGTCTGAAACGAAAGCTCCCTAAAGACAAGGATATAAGGCCCCCCAGGGATCACAGGATTTGATGAAAAAACAATAAACTGAATCACGGACAGAGCAGTCAAAGTTGGAAGGTACACAAACTTTGAGAAAGATTGAACTTGCCCATCTTGTAAGGAAAGAAGAGGATAGGGGTTCCTTGAGATTGACTTTCCTCCATTGTTACTTTTTCTACAAACTTGATCTGACAAGTGACAATAATAAATTTTTTGACGGTATACTATAACACCAATTGAGAAAGCAAAGCCCCTCCCCCAGGTACTTTCTATTTTATTGGTAAAAATCCAAACTTGCTATACTATACAAAGAAGCGTAGAGAGGGTGAGAATATGAGCATGTGCTAGGAGAAAGCACATTGGACTGTAGGGAGCTGCCGGGCTGCAGTTGAAAATTCTAACCTGTGGAGGGAATGGGATGGAAGGAGTCGGGGAAACTGGTGTGGCTGCTCTTTTTGGCAATGGCTTCACGTGATTTTGCACACCCACACTTGGCAGTTAGTAGCAGGTCAAAATTTTCAGTTGAGTTCAGGACATTGTCAATTGGTTATTGCCTGTTGGTCCTAAGCATGCATTCTTGCTTGTTCATGAAATTAAGGTAGTAAAATAACAAGATACTGTAAGATTGTATCAATCTGACTTTATTATTATTATTTTGAATTTGATGCTTGTAAGAGTAATATTCTTATTTTACTTTACATAGTTCTTTCCGTGTAAAATCATCCTACATCATCCTATCCTTTCCTTTTTGACGTGATCATGTAATCTTATCGATATAAGACAATTAATTTGACTAATACCACAAATAAAAATTAATTAATTCAATTTAACTATTGAGTTTATTATGAAAAGTACTATTTTTTTCTTTTGATAATCATAATAATAATTAATCTGTTGATAAAAATTAAAATTTTAATTTCCATAATAAATGTCATCTCAAGTACAAAAATTTATATTATTAAACATGTAATAATTGTTCGATTATTTACTATTTCCTAGCAAAATTTTTCATTGAAAATGGCATGGATTTTGAATTTGGGAAAGCCAGGCAGGGAGAGAAAAAGAGAGTATTCTCCGGTTGATATGGTTTCAGTTCATTTAAGCCAAAACCAAACTAATAAAACTATGTTTGGGAATTGGGACTTGTCTGTCTCATGAAACTGGGGCTCCCCTAACGTTACTGGACTTAGGTATGCTATCAGAAATGCTACCGAAACTGTGTCTTAATTTTCACGAAAATCTCTCATATTGATTTCGTTAAAAACAAGAAAGGGTTCGCTTGGAAGAAAGCAAGACGACTTTCCAATCTCCATGGCTGTCAAAAATATTCCACCCACGTCGTTTTCTCATTGCGAAATATGCACAAATGGGTTGAGGAGATAAAAGACAGAGACAGCCTTCCAAAGTCAGCAAGTGTGACGCTGTCCAATCTCAAATTGGTCAATTTATTTTTTTTGGTTGGTTTCCGAAGCCTAACTCAGTCAATTGCCCATTCAACATTTCAACTTAAGGGCTACCAGATTCTTTGTACTCTTCCTCTTTCACCTAATTACTCCTTGTCAGTTATTGACATTATGTTATTGTAGGATAGATTGAAACTGATATATAAATATAAATGGTTAAAATTTTATCGTATGAATTTTGAGATTGAATTGAAAGAAACAGCAATTACTTTCCTTTTTTTTTTTTTTTAACATTATCCCCAAGAAAAATATCAAAGTTCCCCTTTAGTACAGCATGCAATTCCCAGTTCAATAGTTGTAAAGAACAGTTGTGGTGGAGACGTCGGACAAAGAAAATAAGAACAAGCACGTGCATTGCTGTCTAATGTCAGAAATCGTATACACTGGAGAACATGCAAAACTTTAATATTTAGTGGAATTTATATATATGTATATAAATTGTTATATAAATTTTATATATTATTAATAAATTTAATGATATTATTTTATTAATGAATAAATATATAAAATATTAATATTTTTTTAAAAATTTATTTATTAATAATATAATATAATTTTATTTATCTCGTTAATAAAATAATTTCATTTAATTTATTGATAAAAAATAAAAATTTTATATTAATAATAAAATGAATATAACTCTATTTATATATAAAAGAGTAAAAAAAGTAGCATGCGATAGCCCGCATCAATTCCTTCCTGTCCTGTCCAATGCAATCATGACACAAATGCGGGCTTCATCCTCCATCGGTAACACAAGACTACAAGTTACACTGCAAGTTTTTCTTATTTCATAAATGCCTTATCTAAAATTTTCACACAAGTCTTCCATAAAAAAAAAAAAAGAATTATCCATTTCTATTTGTCTCTATAATAATTGACAAAAAAATTAGATAAATTTTCATTTTCATTTTTATCTATTTTTCTTTTTCAAAATTTTTACTAACAATTTCTTATCTTATAGGCTTAAAATTACATTCAACATCTAACTCAATGATTCTTATATGTTTTATTCTTATTTACTGAAATAAATTTGAATATTTCATCTTTTAATATGAAAACCAAACATACCTTCAAAATTATGAATGGACGTAAATTTTATATTATTTTTTATCGTCACTTTAATCAATAATTAAAAGCTTTTCATGATGAAATTTTAGATAAATTTCGTGAAATTTTTTTATTAATATCGGTTAAATAAGAATTATTTTATAAATTGATAGATTTTATTATGTAAATTTTAAAATTATTAATAAATTTTGATATGTTTTTAGATAAATATTTTATTAAATTATTTTTAATAAAAATTTTCATTGACTTCACCTCATCAATAAAAAATTTTGTTCTCTCTACTCAATAGAGGCGCATTGCGCCCCCGTGAGAACTAGATAAATATTACCGTTTATAAAAAATAATTAAAAATAATACATAGTTAATTAAATTAATGCCTCTTGTTAATAGATTAATTAAGATTAGAATTAGGGCAGAATTGGTAAATTAAAAAATAAATCAGATGATTTTATGTGGGGAGGGAGGCATTAGATGCTTTAAGTAATGGATTATGAAACTGACCGTCCCCTTACGTTGTCATTGTTCTTGTTCTTGTTTTGGTTTGCGGCTTTTTATTTTTCTTTCAAAATAATTATTATCATTTTCGACGACGCATACGATGAAAAGGAAAAATTAATTACCAGAATAAATTAATTTAATACGACAACAATAGTCTTCTCTTTTACTGCTTTCCTTTGGTCTTCGCTTTCTCCAAAACAGGAAAAGAAAAAAAACTGAAGCTTTTTTACCTTTGAGCACAGAGCTTTTTTTTTTCTTTATATGGCGGCCGCTTAAAGCCCTCTCTGTTTTCTTTCTGTCTTTGCTGATTTTGGGTTTTTTTCCCTGTTTCTTAATTCATCGTTTCCTAAAGTTAAAAGGCGAAAAACACATAGTTAGCTTTGTTGCGGTTCAAATCGTTCTTTGAAGGTAAGTTTAATTTTTTGGGTTTTTCTTCGTTCCGTGTTTGATTTCGTTGCCGAAGTTTATTTTCAGTGCCCAGGTTTATCTCAAAAACTCTTTTTTTTTTTGGTTTTTCCTTTGCTTTTAAGCTCTGACCTTCGTGGATTCAAAGTTTCTCTTTAAATTGTTGTTTGGGTACCTTTGGCTTGAATTGAAAGATTTTCTGAAAATTATGTGCGAATTACTGTACTTTGGACAATCATACTTTATTACTAGAAAATTGATAGCCTTTTTTTATTTCCTCTTTTCTGACTTTTGGTTTTTCTCAAACCTTGTTGTAAGCTGTAACTGAAGTACTTTTTAATTGAAGGGAAGTAACTGAATGATTTTTTCAACTCAGATAGACGTTTAATTACTATAACTTGTCTGAGTCAAAAGGGTGAATTCAGTAACACCTTGAACTCGTTTTTTGTTGATTAGATAAATAGTCGATTTTTAGATGATCACGGGTTGTTGCAAAAGGGTTTTTAGTTTTTCCACATGAAAGGCCGAAATTGATCGGACTAGTAACTTTAGTCAAATTTTTAGTGAAAATTTCAATGTTTTAGCAACTGTTCATGTTTATTCTTTGTTTATTTTGTGTATGTTGACAGTTGGAAAGCTTTAAGGATGTCTAAGATTGAAGATTCTGGTAGCCCCGGTTGGAGTGCATCTTTGTTCATGCAGACAAAGGAGGATGTTGCAAGAGCAGTTGCTGCAGCTGCAACTACTGTTCGTTCTCCCCGACCATCTGCTGTGTATTCATCAAAAGATGAAAATGGTGGTAGCCAATTTCAGAAGCTACAGCGTCATTTTTCTAGAGTGTTAAAAGGCTTCTCGCAACCCCCTGAAGTGAGAAGTGGAACTTACAATCCGGAAGTTCTGACTAGCCAAAAGCGTCAATGGGCAAACTTTCAGTTGCAATACTTGGTATGGTACATTACTCAAGTGTACATCTCTTGTTAATGCTACTTACTCTTGTGTATGGAGTTCTCTCAGCAAGTATCTACGAGGGGATGTATCTTCTTTTATTTAGCTGTCATTTTTTGTATGTTTCATTAAGTCTTTTAGCCCTGCATCTCTTAGAGGGAAGTGGTTGCTTGTCTAATTGTCACTCAATATTTATATTGAGAGGCCTAATAGAATGACCGATAAACCTCTTCTTTATATTTTACCTGTTATGAATTATCATTATAGTTAACTGATAATTAAAATTTTCAAAGTGTTTCCATAACATTTTGTAGTCAAGTGTGCAGGATCATAGATCTTTGAAGGAACCATTGAGGCTTTTCGAGAGCATGGTTATTGTTGGACTTCCTCCTAATTGTGATTTTCAGGCACTTCAAAGGCACTATGTAACCAGAAAATTTGAAGGTTCTGGAAAACTGCAAAGTGCTTTAAGTTATCAGAATAATTCTCGTGTGGAACCAAACCTTGAACCCCAGGTGGGTTTTTTTTATAAAATGAGTGATTTTTCTTATATCTTGAAGAGAGGGGGTTATGGCTGTGGATATTGATTGTCTGTCCTCTACTTTCAGGTCTTATTTGTTTATCCTCCAGAAAAGCAGCTGCCACTTAAATACAAGGATCTTCTTTCATTTTGCTTCCCTGGAGGTGTAGAGGTTGGCTATATTTAGTGTTTAGTTGAGAGTGAAATGTGAATATTAGAAGGAGTTTAATTCATTCTGTAATATGAATGCCCAGTTGAGAGATTTTTCAATTTAATTTTTGTTTCTGTCACATGTAAATATGTATTTGCAACGTAGAGGTGCCCTAACCTGCTCTTTCTAAATTTAGTTCGTGTTGTTTTAGGTTCATGCTGTTGAGAGAACTCCTTCTATGAGTGAGCTGAATGAAATTCTTCTTTCACAGGTATATATTTATGCTAAAGTGTGATGTTAATGCTCTTCTGCTTGATCATAGACTATATAGTGTTGTTTTCTTGTTCCTTCTCTATCATCCTTGTTTTGGAGTGTTACCATAAAAAAATCAAAACGAGTTTTCTAAATGAGTTCTAGATTTATTTTAACTGAATGCTTCTCCAGATGGCATATTCAAATTTTTATCACTGTCATAATTCTTGATTGACAATGTAAACCAATTCCTTTTATACTGATACCAAAGTGGGGTTATATATGCTACTGAAAATTTTAATTTTGAGGTTAGGTCAGGTTGCGATTGCTTGGCTTCATACACTGTATTAGCTAATTCTAGCTCTGCATCTGGTTCTGTTATAATTTTTTAATGCTGGACTAGTATAAGTACCCACGTGCATGTTTAGTTTGCATAATGAAACTTTATTCATGTCAAAAATGCTAAATTTTTATATAATAATGCTTGTCTTGCAGGAACACCTAAAACAAAGTGACCTGTCATTTGTATTCAGATTGCAGGTAACCTTTGAAATATTGTGCTATTTTGTATTCTATTGTTGAAATCTTCTTTTTTCATTTTGTTTCTGTTTTCAGTTGTGTTGTGTACATCTTAGGTGATCAAAGTTTGACATTCTGATGGGTGATCACCATTTTAAAATTCCATAGCTGTAGAGATAGATACTATGAAGTGAAACTAATGTGAAGCCTTCTCACTTGTTCATGCCCCAGTCAGAGATAGTAATCAATGCTAGTATATTCTGGAATTTTGATGAACTGACTTGGTCTGGTCTTTTTTGGATCCCAAAATCCTTGCTGTTCTTGTTGCTATTTTCTGCTAACAGATTTAAATTTAATTTTGTTTTTAAGTTGCTAGGCATTTGGTTATGGCTGTTATCGACATGTACTTCATTTTTTAACCTTTTAGTCATCTATACTCCGTACTTGATCTTTAAGTTTGCTATAGTACTGCCTATAGCTCTATCATTTGTATATTTAAGGATGATTGCATTTTGTTTTTCTCCTCATATCTTATATTGATCATAGGAAGTTTAATTTGCTGCTTCAGTTCTAATTTCTTTTTCTCACAGCTTTGTAAATTATAGTGGCTTTCTTATAATGTTTTACCTTTTTTATGACTTCTGTTCTTTTTCCCTCTAGGTTGCTGATGATTCTACTTTGTATGGATGCTGTGTGTTAGTTGAAGAAATAGTACAAAAGCCCTCTGGGTTGCTTTCCTTAATTTCAGATAGACAAACTGCCTGCCCATCTATGAGTCGTTATGTGATGACCACTCACAGATGTTATTGCATTCTTTCGAGGCTTCCATTCTTTGAGTTGCACTTTGGCGTGCTGAATAGGTATGTTTTATTACATAACAGATACAACACAAGATAATGAGGATCACTCAGGAGCCTCTCTCTTCTTAACTACTTCTTCTTCTTGTTATTATTATCATTAAGGGCAAACTATAGCTTGATTTGGTCTTTACATTTTTGGATCTTTCATTTGCTCAAACCTATATTGGATCTTTTATTCATGCCTTGATGGAGATAATCCCACTTGATAAACTTTTTGGACTCAAATCTTGAGGATTTTATGCTAGCAATATGGTTTTAGCTCATCTCTCTGGTTATCATGACTTTTTGTCCGATTAAAATTTTCATGCAGCATATTTGATGAAGAAAGGTTGGATCGGTTAACAAAAAGCATTGGTGATATAGATTTAGAATTGTCAGAGAGTTATAGCAGTGAAACAAACCTAGATGATGTGCCAACAGATCAAGGAGCTCTAAAGGACTTACAGAACACAACGATTGAAACCTCTGAGATAGGTTCAGGAGATTCTAAACCTGGAATTACTGATGATGAGAATAGCTTTGAGCATGAAATGCTTGAGAGGAACTTGGACTCAAATAAAGCTTTTAATAATAATAATGTTATTCCAATTGATCTGGAAACAGAGACATTTGTGAGCAAAAAAGAATCTAATGGTGCAAATCCTGAAGATTGTGATATTGATGTTGATGATTTCACAGCAAATAAGCAAGCGGCAGAAAGACGCTTGCCAAATGCTGTTTTGCCACTTCTGCGCTATTACCAGTATGAAAGCTCTGAATCTTCTTGCAGGTAGAATGTTTGCAATGCTCCTATTTGTTTAGTTGGTTACTCGTTTCTACGGATGCTTATATGGTGAAACAGTTTTATATTCTTTTGTTGAAGTATGCTTTTGGCTCTTTTATGTTTCTGAGTCTTTATCATTTGGTAATTTTTTTAATAATTCAGAAAGCAGAACTTTCATGCTATATGTTGTTTCCTATATCTGCAACTATTTAAATGAGTATTACCATGTAACCTCCATATAATATCAATTAATATGGTGTGCATTTGTTTTTCTGAAAGTTTTCCCTTTTTGTCTGTCTATCCTAACTTCACAAACACACATGTATTTACATGTTTATTTACACACACTTTTCCAGGTTGAAGTGACTTGGTCAATTTTTGGCTGATGAAAGTATGTTATTTTTATGTCTATGCAGTTTTCAAAGTTCTCCATGTGAGGACAGGAATTTGAGGAGTGATGTTGATGATACAGAAACAGAAGAGACGTCTATCTCTGGCCAGGAGGATTCCAGTGATCACCTTGATATCCTTGAATGGGCTAAGGTCTGAAAACGTCTTGCTTTAAGTTGATTTAAGCTTTTAGCCTTACCCTTATAGCATGCCACACTTGTTTTGTGATATATCTTAGAAAAATCCCCCAATTTCCAGGCAAACAATCACGGATCATTGCAGATACTATGCGAATATTATCAGTTACCTTGCCCTGCAAGGGGTGCAAAACTTAGGTTTCATCCTTTGGAGCACCTTCATCCACTGGGATATCATAGACCTGATGAAAAAGTTTTGAACATTGCTGGCTCAACCATTGATTTGAGATCTTGCAGTACAAGTCTTGAATTTGCTGAGGTAACCATGTTGATAAAAGCAGTTGCATTTCTCATTTGAGACTTGGTGGGTCAATTGCATCCAACTATTATCTGCTTTTATCAGGCACACACTGCCCTTTTGGCAGAAGAGGAAGCAACTGCTCTATCAACATGGGCTGTTGCATGCATGTGTGGATCTCTGCGGCTTGAACATGTAAGCATATGTCCCTGTTTTATTCACAGAAGGATAACATGCTTTTTAAGGTTTTCTTAAGTTGATTGTTGTTGATTACATGCTTGGCTTTTTGTATGTCATGTAAATTTTTTCCTTAATGGGCTTTAGTGTTTTAAGGACATAATTTGTTTTTGCTCTTTTCCGAATGGGCCAATATATCCAGTTGTGATGCTGCATTATATCTCTGCTGTTTCTATTGATTAATCTATGAAGTGTATCCATGATATCACCGAAATTTGCTAGCTTGTCCTGATTTCTTTAATCTTCTATTTGTTATTGTGTCATAATCACCAAATACCATTTATTTGTTCTTTTTTTTTTTTTGTGCGAGTTGATTATTTCTCCAGTTATGATGAGCATCAGTGATTTAAATTTGCTTGGTCTTGTATGGATTTTTGAGAAGTTAGCTGAATTGATTTTTCTTGTACCGTGTAGGTGTTAACAATCTTTGCTGGAGCATTGCTGGAGAAACAGATTGTGGTTATTTGTTCGAATTTGGTAGGTATCATGTATCATCTTACCTGATAGTGGTCTTTTAGCAGTTGACTCTGTTTCAATTACAAATCTTTATTTTGAAACCTGATGATTGCTTTGCATTTATCCTTTCCTAACTTGAAAACCGGAGTATCTCCTTCCATGTCCTATAGGGCTGGTTGCATCCATTAGCGTGGAATGTTTTATAATTAGATTGTGGCTTGCAGTTCACATATTTAAGAGCACAAATATGGATCTTATATTTGTACAATTAGGAGACCTCATCTCAATTCTTTTGAGTTTTTCTTCTTGATGTTTATAAGTTATATTTGAATCATATTGATTATGCCTCGTTGTTTTTTGTTCTTCAGTGTTTTATAGTTAGAAATATAGAACCTCTTCATTTATATTAGATTTGAAATGATATGCAGGGAATCTTATCTGCTACAGTTTTGTCAATTGTCCCTCTGATCCGTCCGTACCAATGGCAAAGCCTCTTGATGCCTGTATAATCTCTTAATGATTCTTGAGATTTTCTAAATTGATATTTAAACTGTTCATAATTTCAATACTTGCATATAAATTTCCAGGTTTTGCCAGATGATATGCTGGACTTTCTAGACGCCCCTGTTCCTTACATAGTAAGTTTTCAAACTCAACCCTCCTCAATTTCTCCATTTCTTTTTTTTAACAAAAAAATGCTCGATGTTGGCATGATTGAGTATTTTAGTTTCAAAGAAATTATGTGGTAATCCGATTCTATGACAAATGAGACTAGATGTTCTTAGTGGATGATACTCATGTCAAATGGAAAAGAAGCAAGGAAGACCAATGGAAACATGAGGGAAACTGTCAAAAAGGATCTTGCTTTTATTGAGTTTATGAGGATGTGGTGTTAAGTAGAGCACAATGGTCCACATAACTCATGTAGCCGAACCCACATACTGGGAAAAGGCTTGGTTATTTTTGTATATGTAATGATAAAGACTCTTGGCTAAGGGTTTTTTTTTTTTTTCCCTACTTTTCATCTATAATAATATGATCTCTCTAAAGAAATTATCTCCCCATAAATATGTTTTCAATGAACTATGACACATTTGAAAATTGAACACCGCTATCATGGAATAAATTTTAATGCACCCTTCACATTTTATCATTATTTTTTTTTAGTTTATTCCTTGATGTTGTACTGGCTAATAAAATTTTACACATCTGTAGGTTGGTGTAAAGAACAAAACCAGTGAAGTACAGTCAAAGTTAGCCAATGTCATTCTGGTTGATGCGAATAAGAACCAGGTTTGCATCATCTCTTATGTTGACATCACATTGTAACTTATTAGATACATGCAAGCTATTTTTCTCTCTTTTTTTTATAATGACTATTACATTATTTTTGTTTTTCAAGTCATGCAGTTACAATATGGTATAACAATGTTATTCCATTACAAATTATAATATGTTTGTTTGATTGCAAGATTAGCTCCATTTGCTAATAAAGAAAAAATTTTTAGTTTGATTAGTTTTCTATTCTCTCTCTCTCTCTCTCTCCTCTTTTTTATTTATTTAATTTTACTGTCGGCGTGGTGCACTTGAGAAAATATTGTTCCAGTGGAGAAATCAATGGTTTGATGTCCTTTGCTTTTATACTACCATAAATCTGATCGTATGACATGTCTCATAGATCTGTTTGATTTTTCTCAAGTCAACAAAAAGAATTTAAATTACATTTGTTTTCAAATTTAATCTGGATGTGTAAAAGCCTGTTTTCTTGCTTAGAAAATAGAAGGGCAACTTCACAACATTTGCTTGCCTTGTTGGAAGCTTACAAGTTTGTACATTACGTTTCTTTATCTAGTTTGTATTGTGCAGTTAAAGATGTTCATTCTTGAAACACCTTTTAGTTTAAGGCTCAACTTTTTTCTGTTCTAACTTTCTCACTGCATGATGTGATAGATAAAGGCATCTACAATACCACAACTTCCAAAGCATAGAGAGCTGTTTGCATGCTTAAGTCCTTATCATGCAAAGCTTGTTGGGGAAAGTTATTTGGGGAGGAAGAGACCTGTACATGAGTGTACGGATGTACAGGTAAGCTTTTTGCCATAGAAATTTCAGTTTTTCTTTTTCCATGCAAAACTTCCAATAAGACCTTTTCCTATCAAGTTTACTTTACCCACAATGAATTGTATACTACTGAACTTGACTAATGAGATTGTAGTTTGACACTACTTTTAATGTGCATCATTATGGATTATCTCATATAGATGGATACAGTTTCATGAAAACTGAGCCTTTTTCATTGTGATAATAAAGTCATATACAATAGTTGTTAATGTTTTGCCTTTTCAACTTATCAATATCTGGATTATGCATTGACTTGATTGTAAGGTCTATAACTAGAAACTATAATTTCTACCACTTTGAGGTGAACTAGATTACCACCATTTTCTGAAGGTATAGTTTAACTATGCCCCTTTATTTGGGAAATATCCATATGAATCATGGAATCATCTCTCATTTGATGTGTTCTATTGTTTGTGTAATTGTTTGTTAAAGGTCATCTAATGAAGTGCTGCTGTAATTCAGTGGTTTGCTAATTGTTGTTGTTTTTTTTTTCCCTTGTATTTTATGATATAGATTGAAGCTGCCAAAGGTTTTCTATCAGTGTTAAGATCATACTTGGATTCTCTTTGCTCTAACATGCGGTCACACACAATTACAAATGTACAGTCCAACAATGATAAGGTTTGTGTTTCGTTGAATTAGAATATTTCTGCAAAGCTGCTTTCTTTGGGTGTTCATTTGGTAGCCAAGCAAACCTACCATGCCTGCTTTTGTCTTACAGTATATCAGTAGATTATTTACAATTGCGAATTGTTTAGAATTTTCTATCCTAAATATTGCTGTTACCCAGATACAGTTTCAAGTTTGCGTGAAAGGGATTTGTGATTCATAGGGTCATAAGAATGTGAAAACCATACTCGGCTTTGTTGGATGGATATTGCCAACATATTAAGAACTTGGTCACTTTTTAGTACTAATACTTTCAATTGAACAAAGTGCACCTGGAGCCTGAGGATTATATATGCTTTAACCATGATTATTGGTTGAAATTTAATTGCATTATTACCCTCTAGAAAGATCACTTAAAAGACTAAGTGATATAGCTTAAGTGGACGCAATTAAGCCTCTTTAAGTATTTTCATAGTACAATGAACTTTTTTATGTAACGTGTCAAAAAGGAAATAGGATATATATTGATACTGATATTTCAACATTTTATTCAAGATAAAATATGTCTAGTGCAGAAGCCTTGGCCCAAAAGTAGGTCCTTTGCAATTCAGTCACGAAGGCAAAATTTAGGGTTTTGCCCATCCTTTGGTTGAGGAAATTTTCTAACGATTTATGTCCAAAAGATGTAATTATAATTATATGCTGACCAATCCGCCACAATTCAAACTTATATCTGGGCTTAGGATCGATTATGTACGTATATGTGTGAGAATGAGTCTCACATGGACAAATGGAAGATAGAGTTGTTTAATGCAGTATTTGTGCGTCATGTTCTGCTGCCTTGTATTGTTCAAAAACAAATGATGAAATCCTGAATTTCTTCCATGTCCAGGTATCTTTGCTTTTAAAAGAGAGCTTCATCGATTCATTCTCTAGTCGTGATCGACCATTTATGAAGGTGATTCCTTCAATTCCCTTAGCTAGATATTTGCCACCAGTCCTGATTTGAGAACAATTATAGTATAGAGCCTTATTTTCTTCAATTCTATGTTGTCATTTTATTTCATTTTTTTATGTTAATTATTTTCATATTTATTTTTAATGGTAAGCCTATGTTAAATAGCAAAATTTGAAAAAGCTATGCTACCAAAAGCTGAAAACGTACTCACGATTGTTCACTTCTCCCAGCTGTTTGTGGACACACAACTCTTCTCCGTACATACGGATCTTGTTCTCTCATTTATCCAGAAGGAATAGGACCACAACCATGAGGATGGCCAGGAATTTTTAGTGTTGTAACTTGAACGCAAGTTCAGCAATGTATAATGACAAATTATATTATTGATATCGCCTAAAAATGTTATAGGTTTGTAAAAGTATTTATTTTTCCTACATCGCGATTCCCCTTTTTCTCTTGCTATTTTCTACTTGGCAGCCTGAAAATTAATAAAATAATAATTGAATGAGATATTTATACTGTAGCAGGGTGTTTGAATTTGTTGTGTATAAAGTGTTCTTATTTCACTGTTGGAATTCACTTGTGTTAGTGGCTCTGAAGATGGAAACATGAGTGCATTTGAGTGGTGGTAGACGAAGTTTTCGATTTAAACTGCAAAACTTGGACCTAGAGCAAGCAAGTTTTTAAGGTTTTTGTGCTCACTGAAACCAAACATTTAGCAAAACCAACATTGTCTTTGCAAGCAGCACACATGGTGCATCTACTGTCGGTCTAAGGTTCTGTAAAGTTCCTGATTGGGTCATTGACTGCCATATTTGTGGAAATGAGCTCTTTTTGTTAGCCTTTAACTGGCACTCACAGTCAAAGGGTGGTGGTGTCCCTACTCTAGGTGTTCACCTACTGAGACACACCTTGTGCTACCTTCTGTGGCGCCTCATGGCGGAGCACGTGGCTCTTGTTTCCTCGAATTTATGGAGTTGGGAGTGTTGGAAATTAAGCGTGGGTTGGATCAATGGAGTTTGAACTTTGAAATTAAATAGGAATAGGGATCTTGATTAGTCTGTGAATAAAATTTTTCATGCTTTACAGTGACAGAGAGTAATGAATGTGAAAACGGGCAAATCTTGTCACAGTGGCAAATGCATAGGGCCATAAAACTTCCCGGATTTTGAAGATAGGAATGACTATAAATATTGGTAAGCTGTTAAAACAGTTTAAAGGGTAATGTCACATGTTTAGCTTTCTCTTGATAAAGCAATAGATCATACGGCATTTGGATGCATGCTTTCACGCAAGTTAGTGAAAGATAACTTGATATCCGAAAAAGCAATCAATAAGCTACAAGTTAATCTAAAAAATACATAATAATAAACTAAGGCATAATAGGAGTACATCAAGGCAACATTTAGTGTTCCGATAAAAAAAATATCTTATTAATATCGAGAATTATACAAGCACAAAAAGATAATCAAATCTTTTCATCATTATTGGGGCCAGAGGTGCAATCCTAAATGGGTGGTCTAGCACATACTTTAGCTAGTAAGGTAGCCCAACAACACTTCGATTGTTTACCTCCTTTAAAAAGCTTAAGAGATTTTATAGTTATGTTACCAAGAACCATTACAATATTTGAAATGAAAACACTTTTTTTTTAGCATATGAAATCGACCCTCCTTTTTAATACCTTTACCTAATCATGGTCTTATACATGGATGGCTCATGACATCATATACTCGATCATGACCATATATAAGGTTAGCTCATGACATCTTCCTCCACCTATTCTGTCGATGCCCTTGTTGACTTGATGGCCTAAAATTCTTTAATCTTCTACTTGAATGCTCAAAGGTCATGGTTTCTCTTTCAATTGGTTTTTTCTAGTCCTAAGCCCTCCCACTTCACTAGATATTCATGGACTATTCTTTGAGATACTCGGTATACCTTGTCAGCTAAAATCTTTTCAACTTGACATTTTAATGGTGGCTTCATGATAATGGCAACCCTAGTTGATTCACTATGACTTACACTATGAGACCTATATGATAGGGCTTTAAGTTGCTAACATGGAATACTGGATGCACCTTCAACTATTTTAACGGGTCGATTTTGTAAGAAGCATTTTCTACTTTGGAAAAATATTCACTGGACCCTTATACTTACGCACCAACTTATGATCCCACTTCATTATGAACGTGGTTTGTTCAAGCACTAGTCTGACAAGAACAAGATCATCAAGTTTGAATTATTGTGCCCTTTGGCTCGTATCTACCCACTTTTTCATGCATTTCAATGCCTTTTCTAACTATGCTTATGTAATTTCTATGTTCTGTCTCCTTTCTTTGCTAAGGTTGAAGGCTCACGGATTCTTCCCTTGATATGGCTCAAGGAATGTATACGGTAGTCTTGATAGTTATCCGATGACCACTTTAAATGAACTCTTGTTTGTGAAAGAACACTTGTTGGAATTAAAACAAAATTGAGCTATATCCAACAATTAATGTCAATTCTTCTGATTAACTTGAACAAAGTGTCTTAAGTACTCCTCTAATAACCCATTAAATCATTTGATTTGACTATCGATTTACTGGTGATAACTTGAAGAGATGTTGAGCTAAGATCCCAATATTTTGAAAAGTTATCTGCAGAATGATCCAGTGAATCTCAAATCCTTGTCACTAATAATGGTTTGAGAAAGACCTTAATATTTGATTACATGTTTAAATATTAGACAACCCGTATATTTTGTGATGCAATACTTTTAGGCTGGAATGAATATGGTATATTTCGGGAAATCGTCAATCACCACTAGAATAGACCCAAAATCACCAACCTTAGGAAGGCCCTATATGAAGTCAAAAAAGATACTTTCCCAAAGTCTCGTGGGCACAGGTAGTGATTCAAGCATTCCTGATAGTTTTTTTTTCAGCTTTGTCCTATTAGCAAATGAGACAAGTCTTCATATAGTCTATCACATCTTACCGCATGTAAGGCCAATAAAACCTTATTTCAGTAAACCTAAGGTACGTTGCCAACTAGGGTGACCCATCTATGGTGTGTTGTGTCATTCTTTCATTAATATATATCCCAAATCTTCTACTTTCGATAAAAACAACCGAGGACTCTTTATCAATAGGACTTTTTTTTTTGCCAAACATATTTGGACTTTCTTTCTTCTACTAACTTCAGAATGGCATTAACTTGTAAGTATTTCTTCAAATTATTTTCAATTAGCTTACGAATATTTGTCATGACTTTACTAGTCGTCATTGAGGCGATTTTCCTTAAAGCAGCCAATTTTACCTATCAACTTAATGTATATGCCACTTGATTAGTTCTTCCAATTGTGTGCTCAAATAAAATTCAAATTTGGCTAAAAACACATGCCATCTAGCTTGTTTAGCCATGAGCTTCGACTAGGTGAGAAACTAAATAACCGCAGCATTGTTCGTTTTAATCACGAATTGTGAACCTAACAAATAATGTTGCTATGCTTTTAAACAATAGATTACTGCCAATAACTCTTTCTTTTAAGTAGTATATCTCTTCCTGACTTTTCTCAACTTTTGACTTTCAAATGCTATTAAGTGCCATTCTTGCAAAAGCACTCCCCTAATAGCAAAATCAAATGCATTTGTTTGAACTTTAAAAAACTTTTCAATGTCAGAGAGAGCCAAAATAGGGTCCTTCATCATGGCTTCTTTCAAGCCCTTAAAAGTTTATTGACATTCATTTGTCCAACATCATTTATGTTTTTTTTTTTTAATTGCTTCGTGAGGGCCATTATTCTACGATAGTACCCTTCCATAAATCTCCTATAATAATTGGCCAATTCCAAAAATGAACAAAGTTCACTGACATTTTTTAGTGTTACCCACTTTTTGATAGCCTTAACTTTTTTCATGTCTATTCAAATGTGGCCTAAAAAGTGAATCCGTGTTTGAGCAAATGCACATTTCTCCTTTTTAACATATAATTGATGGTTTTGTAGTTTTTGAAACACAAGATGCAAGAGCATTCTTGGTGCTATTCCAAAGTAGAAAAATATACCATTATGTCTTCTAAATAGATGATCACAAACTTGACAACATAGTCATGGAACACCTAATTCATTAAGGTACAAAACGTGGCAGAGGCATTAGTCAATCCAAAAGGCATAACAAGAAATTCAAATGCATCATAACGCATTGCACAAGTAGTTTGGCTCATCTCTTTCAGCAATTCTAACTTAATGATAATCAGATCTCAAGTCCAATTTGGATAAGTACTTAGCCTAACTTAGTTGATCAAACAAATCCATAATAAAAGGAATAAGATATTTGTTTCTCACAGTGATTTTGTTTAAGGTCCTGTAGTCCATACATAACCACAAACTCCCATCATGCTTTCTTTGAAATAATACTGGTGCCCCAAATGGTGTTTTTGATGGTCTAATGAATCTGACTTGTAAGAGCTCATCTAATTATTTTTTTAATTCAGCTAGCTCTGGTAAAGCCATGTGATATAGACCATTAGATGACGGTTTAACTTCCGAGAAAAGCTCAATCTCATGGTCCACAAATCTTCGAGAAGGTAGAACCTTGAGCAATTACTCTGGCATCGTATTTTTAAACACTTTTAATACTTTTTGCACCCCATCAGATATTGATTCCAGCTCAATCCCATATTTGAAAATGGATATGACCACGTAGAAAGGCTTCATTCTCTTTACCTTTTTTCTTGAATTGTAATGCTAAAATTATTTTTTTCAACTTTAAGAGGATCGTGGTCGACATAACACACAGACATCCTCTAAAAATAATAGACAACTAATAGTGGGGATTGGAATCACCTAAGCCAACATCATAAAGTCCAATCCTAGGACAACATCAAAGTCATCCATGAGAGAAATCGTAAAGTTTGTATTTTTTTCCATGGCTTCAACTTGATCATCACACTCTTGGAACTTTCACTAATCGTAAAGGCTGACAAGTTAACTGCTTTCATTTGCCCCCAGTCTTTATTAACCTTAAAATAACATTTTTTTACTTTCTTTGGTGTGATGAAAATATTGGTTGCACCCATATTTACCATGGCCTTTATGGTTTTACCATTGAGTACTAGGTTTACATATATTAGACCTCTTTCAGGTTCTTTCTTTATCATATTTAGTTGGGTACAGAGGGCACTAAAAAATCGTATTAAACCCATCTTTGCTAGCTCATCTTCAACTTCGTCCATAGTTTTCGATGCTTTGAAAGACTCTTGAAAACAAGCTCTCAAAGCATTAAAGGCACATTTATGTAGGCATTCGACCACCTGATGCAGCCACTGGCATAAGAAGCAAATTAGCTGTTGATTCGACTTGAAATTTGATACATTGTTTGCTTTGGGTTAGGTATTATCTTAACTAGAAGACCTCCTATCTAATCTTTCACTCAAAAGTCGATCCACTATAGTCATCTTTCTTTCATTCCCAAAGTTAGAGTTACTGTCATTGATAAAAGGTTTTTGTTTTAAAAGGCTATCGTTATAGTCACTAAGATGTTCGGTGGCAACCATGGCCATGGCCACATCTTACATTTTTTGCTCTTGCAATTTCATCTTGGCCTAAGGTTTAAGGCCTTCAAGGAAATATAACATCTTGACTTTTTTAGACATATCTCTAATGTCCAACATTAGGGTTAAAAAGCTAGTCACAAACCCACATACCATTCCCATTTATACCAATTCTTGAAGTTTTCTTTAGGTCATATACTCTACATTTTCAATGAAGAATTGGTTTTTCAACTTTTATTTAAGATTCGCTTAAGTTTTAATAAGGCATTCATTATTTACAAATTTTAAATGCCATCATAGCTTGGCATATCTGGGAAGGTACATTGAAGCCATTACAATTTTATCTTCCTCTGATTCTATATGCACAACTTAAAAGTATTATTTTATGTCAAACAAAAAGTTCTCAAGCTCTTTGGCATCTCTTGCCCCCTCATAACATCGAGGCTCCGACCCCGTAGGCCTTTTTTCCTTTATCTATCGAGTTAGAACTCGACTTAGTCACAATCATTTGCAGCACACTCACTTGGGCTCTGAGCTTCTCAAACTCTCTCTGGAGAATGCTCAAGGCATCTCTAGTTTCATCACCTAAGCTATGTAAACTATCGGATAACTCCTACTAAGCTGTCTCGATCTCTCTCAATTGATCATGAGTTACTACATAGTTGCTTTTGCAGCCACCACGGCCTCAAGCTCTTTGATCCATTGTCAGTCATCAAATCCACTTATAATCATTTTATCAATTCTTTAGTACTTCTCAATCATGCTCTAATATCACATGTTACAGGCTAAGCTTTTTCTCGATGAAACAATAAATCATGCAGCACTTAGATTGACATTTTCACACAAGTCAGCCAATGATAACTCAATATGTAAATAAGCAATCAACAAGCCATAAGTTAATCTTAAGAATACATAATGATATATCGAAACATAACAGAATCACACCAAGGCAACCCCTGACGTTCCCGTAAGACAAAAATTTTTTTTTAATATTGAGAATAATATAACAAGTACAAAAAAGAACATTGAATCTTTTCATCATCCTCAGGGCTAAAGGGGCGGTCTTAGATGTGTGGTCTAATACGTACCTTAGCTAGAGAGATAGCCTATCAACACATCGACTGTTCACCTCTTTTAAAGAGCTTAAAAAATTTTATAATTATGCTACCAAGAACTATTATAATAGTTGAAATCAAAATACTTTTTCTTAGAACATGAGATCTACTATCTTCTTATTATCTCTATCTGATCATGGCTTTATACATGAGTGGTTCATAAAATCTTATGCCCAATCATGATCCTATACTAGGTTGGCTCATGACAAGTAGCATGTTGAGTCGACCATTACCCACATTTGAGTTGGGCAGCTGGAGCCCTGAAGGTAAACCACTGGTGGCCGATGTTTCTTCCAAGGAACGTCAATGATCATTAGCTCACTTAATCACATGATCCAAATAGTAAAAAAAATAATCTTCTCATTATTCTTTAGTCACTACTTTTGGAAGCAAAGTGAATCAATGAAAGTGGGCTCTATCAAACTATGCTTAGGGAAGTTTGAAAAGGGAATTTATTCAAGAAATGCAATGGGGAAGGCCGTTCTGGTCAGGTGGGGTTTTTCGTTTTTTAGCGAAAGGTGCTTTGCATGTGTTTGAACCTAGCAGGGGATAAGGCCAGCTTCTTTGAACAGTGCCAGAGAAGCCACTACTTTGGATAACACCTGCCAAACTTATACAAGAGTAGTTTCAGGGAATTAAATGCAACCAAATAAAATAAATAGTCCTAAACTCCGATGAAATGCTAGTCCCAAATTATAGCTAGGGAAAGTAGTATCATTTGTATACTGCTCAAACAGTTCTCTCAACAAACATTTTTTAGGGCCCGAACCCATAGTTGTTATTAATTATTATTATTATAGAAGTAATAATTAAGAGTTGCCACAGACCTGAACCGATCACCACCAGTTTTTGCTTACAGAATATTAATCCTTGGGTTAAGCAATTAAAAGAATGGATTCAGTCTCCACACTCCACTAATAAAATAAGTATAAACCAATGGCATTGGTTATTGGTTAAGACATTACCAAACTGAGCTGGTTCAGCTTTATGCAGATTGCAGACTTAGCTAGGTACTTTGCAAGAGACAGGCAAACCAGCACATGTTCCTCTTATTTGAGAATTAGGGAAAAGAAACAAAAGGCAGATGGAAAAAAAAAGTGGGGAGAGTTAGCCTTGTTAGGCCCCAAAAGAACCCTAGAACTAACCTTTCAATTTCCCAAATTGAAAAAGATCGTATAGTAAGTGGGGGATACTGTGGTCTGAGAACAATAAAAGTAAAAGAGTTAGTCGCAGTAAAAGACCAAAACCGTACAAACTTCTCATGAGGGCAGGCATTTGTCTTCAGACACCAAATCTTGTAGTTAATAATAATAGTTTTCTGTTTTGTTTTTACAGTTTTTAATCCAATCACCTTTAGTTTATGGGTTTCCGTAGAGTTGTCAGAGACGTGCTGCCACTGAGGCAGCTTAGCTGCAGGACCAGGAAGCAACATAGAGGTGCAGTCATAATATGAGCAGCTCTCTCCCCACAGGGCTCAGGAGCTAGAGAAGAAAAGAGAGTAAAGAGAGAAAAAAGAGAGGTGGCAGCATTATAAGCAGAACCATTAATTCTATCCATGTAGAGAGGATTCTGCAGGGAAATGGTCCCTGAAATAAATATACCAACTGTACACGGTCTACAGCAGCAGGCCTCTCAAGTATTAAGTAATGACTAACCCACCAACGCTTCTTTCACTGAACTGTGTGGTCTAAATAGGCGTCTTTGTTCTCCCCCCCCCCCCCCCCCCAAATCTTTATTGTTAGCTTGCTTTCAACAATTTTCTTCTCTTTTCTTCTTCTCTCTTGAACGATGAGTGAAAGAAACATATTTCCTTTTACTCTATCTCAGTGGCAAGAGCTTGAACACCAAGCTCTAATCTTCAACTACATGGTCTCAGGCATACCCATACCCCCTGATCTCCTCTTCACCGTCAAGAGAAGCTGCTTGGACTCCTCACTTTCATCCAGGCTTTTCTCTCGCCAGCCTCAACACAGTTAAGTCCACACTTCACCCACTTTTTAACTTTTCTAATGACTTCTATTTCCTTCTGTTTTGGTTTTGCTTTAGCCCTTTTTTTCCTCTGGGCTTTAACAATGAGGTTTCTGATGTATTTGGCAGTTGGATGGAATTGTTTCCGGATGGGATTGGGGAGGAAAGTGGATCCAGAGCCCAGAAGGTGTAGGAGAACAGATGGAAAGAAATGGAGATGCTCGAAAGAAGCCTACCCGGATTCAAAGTACTGTGAAAGACACATGCATAGAGGCAAAAACCGTTCAAGAAAGCCTGTGGAAATTACAACTACAACAGCAAACCCTTCAACAGCAACCCCACCAAACATCTCATCAATCACCAAGTCTCACGCCTATTCTTTTTCTTCTCTTTCATCCACGTCCTTATCCTCCTCCGAGTCGCAACAGCACCACCATCAACTTCGTTACCATGGCTATCATTCCCAGCTCGATCATCCCTTTATGTATCCCTATGCATCAAGACCTCCTGGGATTGGCCTGTCACCTCAAGAAAACACCACCCACTCTCTCATGGATTCTAGCTCTTTCTCCCAGACAAACGCAGATTACAGGTTCGGTTACAAACAACCTGAAATTTCTTTCACTGTACCTGTTTTCTTTTTCCTTTTGTATATTTCTTCATATTTTTACTGATACTATTTGCTAATGAGTTTTGTTTCTTGTGGTTTTTGTGAAGAAGAAACAGTTATGTTTATGGGCTGAAAGAAGAGGTGGATGAGCATGCTTTTTTCTCTGAGCCTTCTGGGACAATGAGGAGCTTCTCAGGTTCATCTGTGGATGACTCATGGCAACGTACACCATTAACAATGAGCTCCTCTTCTTCGAAGCAGAGGAGCTGCTCTGGTTTACAGAGTGACTACTCTTGTTTGCAGCTTCAAAGCTTCACTGATCACACATCAAAACAAAACAAGCAGGATGATGAGCATTGCTACGTTTTGGGAAGTGATATCAAATGTGAAATGCCTATTAAATTGGAGAAAGGAGAACCCCAAAAGATAGTCCATCGTTTCTTTGATGAATGGCCACCAAAACAGAGAGACTCATGGCTTGATTTGGATGACAAATCATCGAACAGCTCATCAGTTTCAACAACCAGGCTCTCAATATCCACCCCTTCCACTTTACATGACTTTCCCATTTTCAGTTCAAGAGCTCATAATGGTATTTTAAAAAAAGAGTTGAATCTAATCGTGATTCTTTTGCTCCTAGCCACTCGTTTATCTAACTTTAAGACATTTAACTCGTTTCTCTTTCGGTCTGAAAACATAAATTTTGTTTTGCAGATGGCTGAGTATGCAGTGGTGGATGTCTGCATTAGAGGCCAAGAATGTACATAGTGGGATCACTTCTTTCCATGAATTCTTACTGTTTAGTCTTTCTTTCGTTTTGTTTTGTTTTGTTTTTTTTTTTTTTTTTGCAAAATTTGGTGATGTTGGGTTGTGCGTTTTTAATGAAGGATCCAATGACTTCTATCTTACTGGTTTCTGTCCTTTTCCTAGTGCAAATTTATAGTTCATAAATACAAGATTGAATAGCTCGTCCAAACATCATTTGCTGGTATCTAACAGGGTGATGTGTCGTGGTTTTTTATGCTGCTTTTAATTTTAAGCACTAACTCAACCTGCTGCTTATATTGTAATAATAATTGGGGGACCCCATGTTCCCAGGATTTGCTAATTTGTCGCTTCTGACTTCAGGCAAACCCGCTCCTTGTACACATCAAGCCAAGGAAATGGTCCAATCATGATTTTTGCATTCTACACTTTTGCTCTTATTTCGGGACAAAACATTGCTCTTCAAATGAATCTTTTTTACTTTCCCTCGTTGTTCCTCATTATTATACAATAAAGACAAATTTTTTTTTTTTTACTAAATCAAGATATTCATATATCCCTCATTGAATTCAGGATTCAATTCTCTTCGCTTACGTTTGAAGAATATCCTCTAGACATCAACACATCCTTTTAGTAAAACTTGGAAACCATATTCAGGCCTTGACAGCGTAAGTTCTGGTTAAAAAAGGGCTGTGCTTTTCTCTAAATTCACTTTCGAAATTTGAAACTTTATCATTTAAGTTGATAGCTGTGGCTTAAACTCTCTGTTTAGGCTTGTGGGAGAACATTCCACTTTAAATACGAAGGAGCATCTTCCATTTCCATTCCATATATTTATCATTTCAGGCAGTGCAGCCTCTTTTTAGTTTTACCATGTTCATCCTCCACCTAGCTTTTTGTTTCCATCTCTTTCTCTTTATGCAGTGCCTGCCTCTGGTTACTCGTTCCTCATTTAGTACAGCAGTGAATGTTTCCTTTGAGGAGATAAAATATTCAGGTTATTGTTAGAAGTTGAAGTTAAGCTTTGGCAAAAAGAGGACTACCCTTGCATTGATCTGTTGGTGGGTGGGTGAGTTTAGTGGGTTATTTTGCTAATAGAAAGAGAGACATCAATGTTCTTACGGAAAGGACTTACCAATCAGCATCAGCTCATCAGTGGGCAGTTCTCTGTAACTGAAGGTACACTTTTAATCCTCCCCCTTCCCCTTCCCTGCCGACACACATACACGCACACACCCCAGCCCCATCTGACTCTCTGACACTCTCTGACTCTGACTCTGACTCTGACTCTTCATGTCTTTTTTTTGTCAGTCACTACCCTAAAGTATCTGACACGCTTCACCCCACATTTTCAACTACAGTTCAAGGAAATCCTCTCCCAACGATGTCGTTTTGAATGTAAATAAAATAACTAATCGCTTGATAGATCTCGACCTTTGACATGGATGGACGACCTTCCCGTGTCTGTGTTTCTATATATGACTTTTCATTTCAGACCAATCTGGATCGCAGGTTTCTACGATCGATGTTTTTTAATCTTGATAACTTCAGCTACCCAAAATTTTTCTAGGAAGACCAAATCAGCCCCCCAGACTTATTTCCACAACATCCTGAGCTGAATGAAAATTACGTGAATGGATTTTTTCTTTTTTGGTTCCTCGAAATATACAAAACTTGAGTGAAAAAACCTGTTGGCATACACTGGCAGACCAAAGTGCACAAGTCCAAAGAAAACTGAAGAAGAAACTCCAAAATTCAGATAAATGCGACACCACTTGAAAACCAAATAATCTAGCCTTGGATAACTATCAAACATGAATAACGAACATCCAAAGTAGAAGAAAAACAGAGCTCCAGGGCATCAACAGCCAGAAGAACAACAGAGAACATACAATTGCAGCCCCAGAACTAAACTTAAAGGAAACACTATTTGAGCGAATGGCTGTCCCACATAACTCGAACAATTGGTTGATAACCATTTCATCATCACCTTCAAAAGAAAAACCCAACAATATTATGGTCCAATATTGAAAGGGAAAAAAAAAATCTAAGCTTTAAGTTCATCGTCTCGTGCTCTTCAAAAACCCAACAGTTTGTCATGATCAAATTCGAATTTCCAAAACAAAACAAAGAAATGTTGGAAAAAACTTGAATTTGAATTTAAAAGTTTATGATAAGCCTGTTAATTAATTGGGCTTTTACATGGATTATTACACTTGTCTGGTTGATTTATTGGAACTTGCCCTTCTTACACACACTTCTATTGGGTACAAAGTCCAAAATGCAAGAGTACTAACAAGCTAACTTTGGACTGATCATAACTCCACTGGGTTTGTTAGTACATTTTTGTTGGGCTTATGAAACATATGGCGTCATGATGGGCTTTAATAAAGTTTTCCTAAGAGCTGATCAGCTGGTAGTAAAAGGAGAATAAAGCCTGGGTTACCAATCTACGTCAAGGAATATACTCGCAATAAAGAATGACTAGCCTCCGAAACAAGTCGGCCATTTTCAGATAATACACAGGCAAATTAGAAAATTATCATGTCACGATACGAGAATACGAAACATTTTTTTTTTTTTTTTACTAAATTCATTATAATTTTTGTCAAAAGTTTTAATTGTGTCATTTTCATATGTTTTTTATATTATTTTTATTTCGTATCATTTTATTATATTTAAAAATAATGAATAAATAATAATTGCTTTGAATTTAAAAAAGTGTATACTAATAACAAAACTAAGTTTTCGTCTACGACTTGTATTATTGACAAAAATATGTTGTTAAAGAACCAAAGAGGGAAACGAAAAACACCCAAAAAGAAACTTCGGAAGAAAAAAAAAATTCAAGTCAAGACATGCAGGAATTTTTGGTTGAGCTGTACATTGTTATTTTCTACATAAAGATAAAAGGATGTAATCAAAGTATGCCTTTCTTTACGTTAACTTAATAGTAGTAGTTTTTTCAGTCAAAAACATTCCAAAGGTTTTTCCCTAAGAACTAGATTGTTTGGTGACTGGTGAAATTGAATTATAGATAAAAGAGAGGAACTGCACAACCAAACTCTGTGGTGGCTGGCTCTCAAAAAAAAAAAAAAATGATGCCACGAGAAGCACCTTGAGAACCAAACTCCAAACTTTTGTTCTTTTTATTTCATTTTCAAAGTCTAAATTTGAATCCATAAATTACTTGCATAAGTTGGTAGAGTACTGGTAAAGAAAAACTTAGAATGGGGAACGAGAGAGAAATTCTCATCTGTTCTAAGTTCAATATCCTATCAAACTTTGTTTGTGTTTGTTCAAATAATCCATAAGAAATAAAGGAAGAGCCATCATCCTCCACATTTGGCAATTGCTAAGATTGATAAAGAGAGATTTGAATATATGCCATAGTTCCCAGGCATTGTCTTTCATGCACCAACTGGTAGCTGAATTCTATGAAGACCTTTGTTCAATTCGACTCCAAACAAGACTTTATCTGTTTCTCATTTGGAGGTTAGCCTGTCAGAATAATATATTGCTTTTAGTTGTTGATTCTCACTTCTTCTCTGGTGCTTGAAATTGGGATTTTATCATAATTAAACAGCTTGGTGCCTGCAGGCTGGATTGAGAAGGAAAGGGAATGTGTGTAATGCACAAAAGGGCAAGAACCCTTTTGCTTAACATGGATAGGTTGACCTCTGTTTAGCCCAATGGGTTTCAAGAGTTGATTTAAATGTAAGAAAAATTGACATGGAAGTGTTCACACTCCTTCAACCATCCATCTATAATCATAGAACTTAACACGTTATTGGCATGTGGACTAATTTTTGAATTAGTTGGCATATTATTATGAATTTAAGGAAGTTTATACACATAATGTCCTCTTTAGCTAGTAAAGTCGAGAAATTTAAAGGTAGATTAGGAATTTCAAAAAAAAAAAAAAAAAAACGTTTTTCCTTTGTCAATTAAACTAGCATTGAAGTCCCATGAACTCGATTCTACGAAAGTTTTTATGAAATTGATTTAACTATAATATAAATCTTCAATTAAAAAACACATCAGGATTTCATGATAACTCTCACGAAACCAATTATGTGAGATCATAACAATGAACGTACGAAATCTCACCAATTCCCATTTTTGTTAATATTCTTTCTATCAGTACATTTGTTTATATAACTCCTGGAGCTCAAGAACTGCCATTTTTGTTTGAAGTTGACATCAATATATACCAACCACCCAACACCTACTCGCAGCCATGGACCCAAAAAATTAAAAATAACTATTGCCTTTTCTTTTTATAGATGCAATTTGAAAGTGTTTACGTTATAAAAGGGCAGAAATTTTCCTATAAACAGGCACATTTGCAATGAAGATTGCCACTTTCTCAAAGTGCTAGCACAAGGATAAAACATTATGAAAATAATCACTTACTTGAAAACTATGGTTATAATTGAACAAAAAAAAAATTATATAAAACGATTATTCCACGTCAATATATATGATATATTATTTTTATTCAAATCATATAATTATATAATTATATTATTGAATAAAATCAATCATTTATTACACATTATATATATGTATATGAATATATTAAAATAAATAATTTATTATTAAATGATCATATTTGATATATAATAAATAAATAATTTTTTAATAATATAATTGTATAATATAATTTGAATGAAAATGACAAATCAAACTGCCAGCATTATCTATTTATTTTGTCATCGTCTGTCTTAATCAATTCACCTCTATTTTTCCAATAATTTTGTGAATTATTACAAAAAAAAGTATAGATTCTACCATAGATCCAATCATCCAACATAAAACCAGACAAATTTCCTGAAGGAGATATGACTGTACCAAAGGACTTTTTGGCTCTTTCCCCTCTGCCCCACACCTTTTATCTGATAGCTGGGAGTTAGGAATTGTCCTTCACATTAGGGCAATTTACTCTAAAAATATAAATGATATATTAATATTTATAAATTATTTAAATTTAATTTAAATAAAATTTTATTTTGATTTTATTATTATTAAATTATATTTATATTTAAATGATTTAATTTATTAATTAAATTAAATTTAAATATTTTTATATTTAATTCAAAATAATTTATAAATTTAATTAAATTTTTATATTTAAATTTATTTTTATTATTTTAATTAATAAATATATCAAACTTGAATTAAAATTTAAAATTAAATACAAATAATTAAATTTTTATTAAATATAAAAATTAAATTTATTTTTATTTATTAATTAAATATAATCAAATGAATTCAAATAATTTAATTTTTATTTTAAATTAAATTTAAACTAAAAAAATAAAATTCAATCAAATTTTAATTAAATTTTAAATTTTAAATTAAATTTAAATTCAAACTTAATATTATATTAACTCAAATTCGATTATCTCCGATCTCTACCTCTACCTGTCTATTTGTCTAGATTATGGGCTTTGTGTCCCCATCAATGGGTTTAGTCTGAAAAATGCACGTGGGAGTGTCCCCTGAGTTTTAGCCCAAGTGTTAAAGGAAGGGAGTAGCTGGCTATAGTAGATTTAGGAGTACCTGATTTTAATAACAATAAAGGACAGAGGGAATAGGAGCAATGTGAACCGTGAAAGAAGATTTGGAGAAGATCAGGTATGGGAGTGTCCGTGGGTATCATGGTTAAGTGCTGAAGTTGATCCACCGATGGTCCAATTTACTATCTGTTTTAATATGCCATTAACAAAAAATGGAAAGTGGTTTGTCCTAAACCCTAAAGAGAAAAATAAAATTAGAAACATTGATGATTAACTATCACCCTATTGTCCATGAGACCTATGGAGAAAGAAAGGGAGCAGAGATACTGAAAGAGACGAGAGAAAAATCAAATTTTCTTATTTTTCAAAAATTATATATATATATTTATATATATATACAAAGAAAGATACAAGAGAATAAGACATTCTCAAAAGGCCAAAAAATTCCAGGTTTTTCTTACTTTTAATTTGGATGTGAATTATATGATGCAGCCAAAATAAAGGGTTAGAAAACTTTTGAAAAAATTTAAATTAAAAATAAAAAATTTTAACGATTCAAAATTATTATTATCATTTCGACATAAAAAAAATTTTCCCTATAATTATTTGGTCCCTCATTTATTTTTTTTTCCTATTTTCCTCTTATTTGTTTTGTATCTAATCAAATTGAAGGTGTGATTATGATTTAAACCTTTTTCATTTGTCATATTTTAGCACTGTGTTAACTTCAAATTGCATGTTTCTTTATAAATTTTTACTTAATCATCTTCATCGTTATTAGTATTAATTTTTTGCCATAGAAATAATGATAAAAAAAACTGCTACATAGAAAGAATAATCAAAAGGGGAAAACACATGGAAATCACAAAATTCCTAGGATTGAATGGGTGATCAAACAAGGAATTGAAAACCAGGTTTTGCGTTGTTGATTAGTTGTACAAAAAAGAAAAAAACATATATAGCAAATACCTAAAGATTCTAATACATACTATCAGAAAAATCGGAATTAAGAAGATCTGATAGACAAAACTCTCCCATGTCGAAGTCAAGCATGAAGTTATTATCATTCTCAGATATGGATAAGCCATTAATTGGGGTAGATGCAGATGTTTGATTCATTGTACATTCCCCGTCTATTGAAGGCTTGGCCTCTCTGTTCCTGTCAAAAGGGTCAATTTTTTGTGGGTACTGATGAGGGTTTATGAAAACTTTTGAGCACTTGATTGCCCTTGTTCGGACCACGAGCGAGGAAGTACCACCAGTTGGCTCCTGTTGCTTCGCCTGATCACTTTTCTTCATAATTCTTCCATTAGATTTGTTGTGTTTCGAAGCTGCTGTCGATGAGTTTTGGTGATCTCGAACCTTTTTCCCCAAGTTGGTGTTCCAGTAATTCTTTATTTCATTATCTGTTCGCCCTGGAAGCCTCCCTGCTATCAAAGACCATCTACAAACAAAGTACTAAACACTATCAAAAAATTCAGCTTGGTCAACAGTACATTGCTTCAAACAAATTATGAGAGAAATTAAGATGAGAAACCTGTTTCCCAAGAGCTTGTGAAGTCTGATGATAAGCTCTTCTTCATCTGCTGATATGTTGCCCCTTTTAATATCTGGTCTCAAATAGTTCAACCAGCGAAACCTACAACTTTTCCCACATCTCTTTAAACCTGTTTACAAAGAAAAACGACTACCAGGTTTCACTCATTTCAAATTTCCCTTTGGAAAAGAAAAACAAATATAATACTCAATTATCCTGTTTTTACCTGCTCTTTTGGGGAGATCTCTCCATCTGCCTTCACCATGTGCTTTAACGTGCTCTGTGAGGATTTTGTCTTCATGAGCAGTCCAAGCTCCTCTGTTCAGGCCTTCCTTAGAACAACAAGGGCTCCTCCCCATTTGGCACTGCACCACCCTCCTTCCCCTCCTCCCTCTCTCTCTCTCTCTCTCTCTGGCAGATGGGTCTTTTCTGAGTTTTAACTTGTTCTTTTTCCAACTTTCTAATGATTCTTGATACGTTTCCCTCAGTCCAGGGGATGATTTATAGTTTTTTCAGATACTACCATATTAATTTTCTCACGAATCGACAGCAACTTATGTCTTGATGCGTGACTCTGGCAAAATGAAAGCCATACACGTAGATTACAAATGGGCTTTTGCCCTACGTGTGCAAAAAGGGACCACGTTCCGTCCTCCAAATAGAAGAATATTAACATAATTAATTAATAGCAGTAGTAGTTGTAGTGTATCAATTTTCTTCTCCCTTTCCCATGGCCTTCATGATGCAATGAAGAATATTTAGCCAATGCCATGCAAAAAAAAAAAACAACTATACTACCCACGAAATTATTTTCTTGATGTCTTATTTGAAAGTTTCTGTAAGTGAATATAAAAAAAAATTGATAGAATTCCAATTTTAAATTTATTAAAAGTATAAATTAATTAAATTAAATTCTTAATTCCAACTTATTAAAAGTATAGAAAAAAAAACCTTTTTTACTTAAAAAAGATCACGATGATTACTTTCACCCGCCCTTCTTTGCTTTTTAATTTCTCTCTCTCAAAAACTTCAATTTCCTGGAAGCCTGAACCTAAATTTCTTGCATGCCTCGGAAAGTTTGTCGCAAAACCCCAGCCGCCCCCGGCTGTTCCCTCTGCCCCAATTCTCTCCCTCTCAAACAGGTTGTGAAGATTACAAAATGTCCCAAAGCAGGCAGATCATGACTGATTGAGTGGTGCTCAGTATCCATCTTCAGAAGCTATCGTGATTTGTGACTGACAAAAAGCATCCATGTGCCTAACTTCAACTTGGACCGTCCATCTTTTTCCCCAATTTGTGGGCAAACCTTGTTCAAAGCTTGATATTGTCCCACATATATTTGCTTAGTATCTATTACTTGTGTACCTCTTAAACTTAATAACACATTTGTTTTAGAGCATTGGGGTTTAAGCTGACAGTGCTATGAGCACTGGCATGCAGATATGCTAATTTTAAAAATGATATAAAAATAATAAAAAATATATAAAAATGATACAATTTAAATTTTAATAAAAATTATATATAAATTTAATAAAATAAAAAATATATTTTATATTTAGTATGTAGAAAATGTATTATAATATAATATATTTTATATTTTATGCATGTTTTATATAAAATAAAAATGATAAACATAAATATATAAATTATTAAATCTATTACTTGAAACAATCATCGTAATATTTACACTTATGATGCAGTAATTATGTATCCCATTAAACTAAAGTTATCTTTTCAATTGAAATTTAAAAAAAAAAAAAAGACAAGGGAAATTACACTGTAATGATGCAAATAAATCTTAACCAAACCATAATTAGTTCTCTCTCCTACATTCCTACTACTTATAAAGATTTTCTTAAAATGTTATTTGAGTATAAATATGCATGCAGGTTCAAATGCGAGGAAAAAAAATCACACAAAAGTTCAAACAAATTATCAACCACGAAAAGAATCAAATGTAAGAATTTATGTATGTATATATATATATATATATTGAAATTAATTTTTTTTTTGTTTTATATTACTAGAATTCAAGTTACATATGCAATAAAAATAATAAATGTTTTAGTATAAAAGAAACGGCAAATTAATATGTTATTGTTGTGATTTGGGCCGCTTCCAACAGTAAAAGCAATCTAAAATATCCCTTGCTAGATTCTGTTTCCTTCATTGCTTGCCTATTATTGGTAGCGATAGATAGCACTTGTTTGTGTGGTTTCTATTATTTGATCAAAATTGTTAAAGTTAACCAAAACTAATTGGCTTTCTCCTCGCTTTGGAGCAGTGATTGAAGTTAAAATCGCCTGGCTTGCTACTGCGGGCTCTTAATTTCTTAATTAAATTATATTTTTTTCTTGACCGAAAAGTCATCACGGTGCTAAATATAAAATTATTATATCACAACATATGTTGATAGTAAAATACGAAATATATTCTTTGGTTTTTAGTAATTTCATATATAATTTTTATCAAAATTTTAAATCGGATCATTTTTATATTTTTTATATCATATTTAAAATTATCAAATTTAATATTATCAATTTTATTTTAAATTTTCGAAAAATTAAAAATTAAATTCCAAAATATTATTTAGGCCTAATAATGACTTGCGATCGTCTAATGTGAAAGGTAAATATCTAGAAAAAAAGAAAATTCTCTTCGTCTCAAATGTTACCATTGACTATTGCAGTTTTTGAGTGCAAAGATCACACACGATGGCATAATCAAATAGAAAATTACTATCTTAAATTTTGATATGATAATTTATATATTTATATTGTATAAAATATTACTAATTCGTATATTTTTATCATATTTTATATGAAATTTAAGTGTCATAATTTATATCGATAAAAAATATAAAATATAATTTTTTAATTTTATTAAAATTATTTATAATTTTTATTAAAATTTTAAACTATATCACTTTTATATTTTTTATTCATATCATTTTATCATGTTATATTTTAAATTATCAAATCTATTTAAATTCATCACACTTAAGCCCTAGCCATACCAAAAATTATAATTTATTACGAAAAAATTTTCAATCAAAATGAGCTATATGCATTAATTCTCTTTTATTTTCTTTGCAAAAATGTTTCGTTTATGCATAGGCATACACATCTCTATTCTTCATTTTATAATATATGATTATTCCAGCTTACATTACTCCATGTACTTAAGTGACAGAGTAATTACGTTGGGGAATTGACAAGCTACCAAATCTATCACTATTTGTGTTCTAGAACTTTAAATGAGTTTCAATTTTTTCTCCTAAGACAAGATTACTTTTTTTTTTTCATGAAATTTCAACTTACGAGTACAAATTACTATAGTTAAATATTTGATTCATATATAAAAAATTATTGAATAATTAAACAAATAAATTAGAACATAATTAGATAAAATTTAACACAAAATTAAATTAAACCCACATATAATGAGATTTAAATTTAAAACTTCATTATTCTAATATCTCCTTCTTATCACTAGATCAAAATTTCATTGGTGACAAGACCTACTTTCTTACTACAGAGAAAAGCAAATATACATATTAAATTTAGAATTCACGTTGATACATTAACAATATAATTTTTTAATTTTATAAATAAAATTTTAAAAATCATATATTTTATTTTTAATTTTTTTATTATTTCTTAATAAAAAATGTTATTCTTTTATTTCTGACAATAAATTTTAAAATTTTCAATGTCAATAAATATGATAATTTCTCATATATTTATGACATTTTTTTAACCACCATTACCTCATTTAGTAATCTTCATGCATGAGTACTGATAAAAGGTAAAAATTAACTTAATTTGCATTTAAAAAAGAATGGGAAATTTGGGTTTTCAATTCCAATTTACATTTATAAAAGAAAGAAAATGTCAAAACCAGCTCATCAAATTAAATGACATGAAATGAAATATAGAAAGAAATTAAACGTCTAGATTCTAGATGCTAGTAGGGCTAGAAATTTTTTTTTCAAAGTTTTGTATGGTTGCGTGTAACATCAAAAAATAATGGTGGCTTTGGAAGAAAGAAAAAGAGGTGCTCCATAATTAATGGGAAAGGACATTGGAAATAACATGTATCGGAAGAGTGGTTTTGAGAGTGATACTTTGAAGGAAAGATTAATTGTAGCGTATTTGTGATACTTTGAAGGAAAGATACTTTGAAGGAAAGATTAATTGAAGGAAAGATAAATTATACGGGAAAGTGAGGGAAAATGGCGAGCTTTCAAACATAGCTTCTCGTTGGAGTAAAATCAACAAAACTTCAACTTACCTGCAAATTTGAGATCATACTGGAATAAATTTCCATAATAATATAATTCAAAACTTATTATCAAGCAAAACTTCAACAACTCCAATATTCAAACAAACCCTTTTATAATTGTAAGATTCCAAAAACAACTGAAACATTAGTCTATCAATTAAAAAGTGATAACATAAGAACCAATTTGGGAAAACTACCTTTACCATAGCATAATCTCTAACAACAAAAAATCATAAAATTAGTCAACAACCCTTTACTTGGGTTCCTTTTTTCCAATTGCTGCAACGAAATTAATCTTGTAACTTCTTTTCTTTTTTCCATTTATTCAAAGAGAAAAACCTAATACAGAGCTAATAGAAATTTGTAAGGTTAGCTGAAGCGTATCAGCCAGAAATGATTTAAACAGCAGAAAACAAGAAACAGATTACGATGACAAGTAAAAGAGCTGAGCTAGTCGACTGACGCTGATCTGAGAGACACTATTGCGATCTGCCAAACTTTGTGGTGGACTTTGGAATGAAAGAAAGGTGATTTGTACAATTAGGTTTTTGTTTCGTTGATTACAAATATATTTGGAAGCACAGTAAAATTAATTTCAGTAAAATTAATGAAATTAATTTATATGAGATTGGAAAAAAAAATTATTATTGTTACGATTAAAAAAATTTGTTAAAATTAATATTTAAATTTAACTTAATTTAATTACACCATATTAAAGATGCGACGAATCTAAACCCCTGCCAAAGGAGGAGCTGAGCGTGGCAAATGTTGATAAATATATGGACCGATCAATGATAACTCTAAGATTCCACACGGCCCAACCCAAATTAGGTCCTCCAAAAGATGGACTGTGTACATATGAGATTGTCTCCTGGTGCTAATGACCTTTCCAAATCCTTAACTCTAAACAACCTGATCGACAAATAAATGGGCGGAGGCTATATCAGATATAGAACCAGTGTCGGTTAACTGTAATGCAGGGAAGGGTGGTGGCGGAAACTTTGTGATGGAATTAACATATATATCGAACAACCGAGAATATGGATCTTGCAGTAAAATTTGGATTTGATGGAACCGTGATAGCTCCCACCGGATGCTCTCTTGGTGCTAATGACCTTCCCAAATTAATCCAGTACGGTCATTTTCATAAAACAGAAATATATGAAACAGATGCAGTGAATATTATAGTTGAGATCAGTTCATTCTCATGACTATATATCCTTCTGTTTCACTTTAGTATATGCTTGTCTTCTGGCGACAATAACCATGACAAATGATTTAAGTCCTGCACTAGCAATATCAAGGATAGAGTGAATCCAGAACCAAAACCTCCACAGGAGTAATTAAAAGAT